TGAGCCCCGGGTTCTTATGGGTGAAGCTGGGACAGTAGGACCTGTGTGCTGAGACATATACTGTAAGTGCCCATTGCTGCGAGGCCCCTTCCCCACATCGCAGGACCTACTGCCCTGCCGAGGCCAATAGGGAGGGACCTAAAAGCTGCCTGGTGCACTGGGTGGGGAGAGCACAGTGAGGGGACAGAGCCAGATGGAGGAGGAGGTGGGGGTCAGATGGGGCAGGCAGAACCCAGTTTCAGAGGGCATGGCATCCACTCACAGGCGACAGTGTGGGCACGCAGCCACCGGGCTGGTGGCGGGTATCTCACTGGGGGCCATGGGGCTGCCCCAGCAGGCAGGGAACCCAGTGAGGGGGAATCGGGGCCCAGTAACCCTAGGAATCCAGGCTGGGCCCCATCGTGGATGGACCCATTTGCTGACCGCTGGGGTGGGTGACAAGAAAGAGCAATAGCTTCCATTTGTTAGGGCTCTGCCAGGTGTCAGTCACTTTACCATGCTCATCCTTTACTCTCTGCAGCTATCCCAAGTAGGGTTATGATGCCCATTTTACAGGCCAGGAAACTGAGGTTCAAAGTGGCGTGACTGATCTAGCATCACTGGCTGGCAAACCAGCCTGGCTCCTGAGCCTGTGCTCTCTCTACTATCCCACCTGCCTGGGCCGGCTACAGAGAGGGGACAGTTGTCTGGATCCGGGCACAGGGGTAGCCAGGATCTGGGGAAAGTGGCAGAAATGGAATCAATCAGAAGTGTGTGGAGAGTCAGAGCCCAAGGGAGTCACCACTTTATGGCTGAATGTGGGTCAAGGGTGCTTCTGTCCGCCCCCACCCCCAGCATCGGGGGCTGGGGCCTGGGAGAGCTGGTGAGGGATGGGAGCCAGGCAGGCCGGCCCCAGGGCGTGGCCCACATGGCACTGTCTACGGCCTCACTCCTCCCATGGCGATCACCCACCTGTGTGCCTCCTACAGGAGCAAGGAGCCCGCGGGCGGCAGCACCTCGTGTCGGAGGGCTCCGTGGCCGCTTACCCCTGACACCAGCCTCGTCAAATGTCATGCCTGGTGCGGCCCCTGGAGATGCTCACACAGCAAGAACAAGAAGGCTGAGTGAGTCAGGGCAGCCTCTCATCTGGAACAGCTCTGGTCAAGGCTGTGGGCAGGGGCTGTCCGCTGGGCCTCCCCTCATTGCCTCCCCTGGTCCCTGGGCTTCTCCTCTGCGCTCCAGGGCAGTCACTGGTCAAAGGAAAAGAGCAATGGGCTTTGGAGTCAGAAAGTGCTGGTTTTGCAGTCACTGGCTGGCTGACTGTGGACAAACTACATCTCTGAGCCTGTCTTCTTGCCTGTAAAATGGAGACAACTGTGCCCCCGGGGATGGTGGTTATGCATTCGTTCAGCAAACACTGTATTGAGCACCGTGTGCCTGGTCTCTGCTGGGCACCAAGCGGAAAGCAGCTAACAAAACAGGTCAGATTCCCACCCTCCTAGAGCTTACTTTCAAGAGGGGGAGCCCCAACAATAAACAGCAACTGCAAGTAAGTAAAACCTGGGGTGTGAGGTGGCGATCTGTGGGGAGAATGAAGCAGGAGAGGGGGACTGGAGAGGGTGCAGGTGGGGCAGTTTTAAACAGGGCAGTTCAGAAGGACGGAGAAGGCCTCCCTGGGGAGATGGGAGAAAGGCCATGCAGCCATCTCGGGGACGTGACCCAGGCTGAGGGAGCAGCCAGAGGGAAGGTGGGGGTGGGACCATGTAGGGGCAGAGCCTGGTGTGGCCCCACCAAAGGACAGGCCCCTCGAGGACAGGCACGTGGGGCCTACTTACTGGGAGCCCCAGGGCCTGGCACAAGTTGGTTGAAATCCTCAATGCCCACGCCCTTTCCTGGGAGAAAACTCAGGCCTAGACAGGAACAGCGCCCGAGACAATCTCCTTCCCCAAATTAAAGGCACAAGTGAGATGGGGACCCAGTCTGCCCCAGCTCCCCAGCCCTTTCCACGACACCCGAGCCTGTCAGCCATCGCCCTTCCTCCCTGGGCCCAGCCTGGCCGTTTCCCTGGGGTGGGAGACGCTGGGGTGGGCGTGGGGCTGCCGGTGCTGCTGAGCCAAGCTGTGCCCCTCTCCAGGCCACACACAGGTGGGAAGCCAACCTGGTCTACTGTGCCCAGGTCCAAGGGCCTCCTGCCAGCTCGACCTCGTCAACGTGACCGGCCTGGACTTCCTCGTGGGTGAGATGTGGGTGCCAGGTAGCTGGCCAAGCCAGTGATCCTTTTGTGTTTTTTTGGCGGCAGAATCATTTTTTCAAACAATTTTGTCCAGGGAACCCCAGTGTGTGGAATGAGTAGCACAGAACAGCTCTAGTTGAAGTGATGGGGGAAGCCCAGCTCCAGGAGGCCCCTGAGCCCGTCCTCGGATCTTAGGGAACATTTGGCAACTGCTTGTCGTGGCCACCTCCTCAGCCTATCTGGGGGCCATTGGGGCTCAGAGAGGTCTGAGCTCAGAGCAGCTGGTCAGCTGGCAACCAGGCCCGCTGCCTTCAAGCCTGGATGGGACCCGGCTCCTGACTCCCAGCCCAGTGGAGGGCCCTGCAGGCTGCAGCTTCCCCCTCCCTGAGAACCACAGGCCTCCCTACGGTCCCCTGTGGCTCCCCTCACCCAGCTGTAGAGGGCCTTCCCCCACCTGAGCATTTCCAGGTGACAGTGGCTGCAACGCTTAATGGGCAGTGAGGGCAGCCCCCTCACTGTTACCCCAGTGTCCCCCCAGGCCCTTCCTCCTTTCCCCTGGGAACTTTCCCTTCCCCTAGATCCTTTCTCTCCTCCCTGCCTTATTTCCCGCCCCAGGGAACCTGGATCAGCACCATTAAGAAATGTTCCAGAAGTTTGGCAATGACATCTTTATGCTACACCTGGACAACAGTGAGGGCCAGGACCAGAGGGGCTCCTTGGAGAGTGTGCATGTGTGTGTGTGTGTGTGTGTGTGTCTTGGTGTGTCTGTGTATCTGAGTGTGTCTATGTGTCTCTAATGTGTGTGTCTGTGTGTGTGTCTCTTGTGTTGTCTGTATGCGTTTTTGCATGTTTGTGTGTGTCTCTGTGTGTATCTATGTCTCTTTGTACCTTAGTGTGCTTGTGTGTCTGTATCTGTGTGTCTCTGTGTGGTATCTCTGTGTGTGTCTCTGTGTGTGTGTCTCTGTGTGGTCTGTGTGTGTGTGGGTCTCTGTGTGGTATCTGTGTGTGTATGTCTCTGTGTGTGTGTCTGTGTGGTGCCTCTGTGTGTGTGTCTGTGTGTGTGTGTCTATGTGTGTGTGTCTCTGTGTGTGTGTCTATGTGTGTGTCTATGTGTGTGTGTCTCTGTGTGTGTGTGTCTCTGTGTGTGTCTGTGTGTGTGTCTCTGTGTGTATGTCACTGTGTGGTATCTGTGTGTTTCTTTGTGTGTGTCTCTGTGTGTGTGTCTCTGTGTGTGTGTTGGGAGGTGAACAGAGACTTCCTTCTGTCTCTCCAAGTACTGAGAGAGCAGGTGATGGCCGCCCCTGGAGTGCTTTGCCCACTGTCGCCGTCTGTGCTCTGAGCACATCCGTGAGCCACCACAAGTGGGGTTCCTGGGACTTTAGATTCAGACACTGAGTTTTAGATGCAGGGGGACCCAGGGGAGACACATTCTCACCCTTCTTGATCCTAAAATGTGCTGCACAGATTCATCACTTCAGTCACAATCATTCACGTAACCCTCACAGTAACCCTATAAAGCATCATTGTCCCCAGAGAGGGGAGGTGGCTTGACAAGGTCCCATGGCCAGTAAGCAGCAGCCTCCAGGGCTCCAGGACCCCCGCTCCCTGCTGGTGCCTCCCGAGTACTAGCTGCTCCTCCCTGGCTTATCTGCAAAGTTGCAGCAGTGACCTCTCCCCCGGACCCCAGATGTGAGGCTGTGGCTGGTGGGCTGCAGGGACAGTCCCCTTCTAGTTCCCTCCTGGGCAGGGGGCACTGGGGCTGAGGCCCAGGTAGCTCCATTCAGACAGCCTCGTGGCCCTTGGTGACCCGGCCTCCCATCTGAGGGTTGGGACAGCAGTGACGGCCCAGGATGGGCCCTGGAGCCCCGAGGACTCAAGTGGGGGACATTTCTAAGAGCCAAAGCCTGGGTTGTTATTCGGTCCCTCTTGGGTTCTTCCCCCAACCGCGCAGCCCGACGTCTTTGCCAACAGCCCCAGAGCATGGGAGGAGGGGGCGTGCCCAGCCCCTGTGCAGCCAGCAGTGTGGTCACCAAGACGTGAACCAAGCCAGGTGTCCTGCCAGCTGTCAGCAGCCCAACCCTCAGGCTCACCCCGCTTCACGGACAGGAGGGCCCCCAAAAAGGCTATGTGCAAAAATCTGTCTTTCATTTACGATGCACTTGAGAGGCTTGCTAATGACAAAGAATTCGAGAAGAGAGGGGACACTCCTTCACCTTCCCTGGTCCAGGGAAGAAGCTTTTGATAAAGGAATGACCACCCACTAATTACTCATGGATGTTTACATCAGGCCAGCACAGGCCTGGGCAAGTCTGAGCCCTGCATGGAGCCTCCAGCAGGGTGGGCTTGAGGGGGTGCACAGACCCCCAGAGTGCCCCCCACCCTCCATCCCACGTACCCACACGTGCAAGCCCGTGCCCCCTCCTACAGCCTCTGTTTCCCACCAAGCGGGTTTGGCCAACACTCTCATGATGAGTTCTCCATCTTGGCCCCCCAAAACAGATGAGCTGCCCCTACATCCCTACCAGGACACCCCAGGAATTAGGACAGCGACCTCCCCATCCTGGGGCCCCTGTTGCAGCTTCAAAACGTCTCCTTCCAAGTTGCAGATCCTCACTGGGGCCTCGCTCCATGTGCTCCGTGGACAGGGGCAACCCTGCCCTCGGGAAGCACAGGCTAGTGGGGACAGTCCTGTCAAGCACTGCCCACAGCGCAGGGTCACAAATCTCATGGCAGAGGGTTGTGGGAGCTCAAAGAAGGGAGCCACAGAGGAGGTAGCTTGTGTCCCTGTCCTGCAGGTGAGGACTGGCCCACCGGGCAGAGGGCAGGAAGTTCAGTTCACCCGGAAGAGTGGTGGGAGCAGAGGCGCAAACATCCCTGGAGTATTTGAGGAAGAGTTAGTGTGCCAGGGGCCCCCAGACCACCCCCAGACTCCACGATTCACTAGGAGGACCCACAGGGCCCGGCATAGAGTCGTCCTCATGGCTGTGACTCATCGCAGGGAAAGGATGCGGAGCAGAATCCATAAAGCGGAAGGAGCCTGGGGCGAAGTCTGGAGGGAACCCAGCACAGGCCTCCGAGAGTCCCCTCCCAGTGGACTCACACAGGACGTGCTTAAAGTCTTCCGCATCAAGATGTGACAACACGTGGGAAGTGTCGTCTACCAGAGATGCTCATTAGAGACTCAGTGCCCAGGGGTTTTACTGGGGGCTGGTCACGTGGGCACCTCTGCCTAGCAAGCACCAAAAGTCCAGACCCCAGAAGGAAAGCAGGTGCTCAGCAGGAACCACATGGTTTGTACCAACAGTGTGGGCCCAGCAAGCTGCTCTGACCAGTCCCGAAACCCACGGTCCCAGACACCAGCCAAGGGCCAACCTCGCAGGTGGCTCTTTGTCTTGGGCCTGCTGTTAATTCTCCTCTGCATGGTTAGAGAGTAAGGTGGGAGGGGACGCCATGAGGCCAAGGGGGCAGATACAGGACATGTCATTGGGGGCCTTCTAGGCCAGGCTGGATTTGATGGTGGGAGTGATGGAGCCATGGACGGGTGATAAGTGCAGGCAGGTGACAAGGTCCAGCTTGTGTTTAAAGAAGATCCTTCTGGAAGCTTTGTGGAGGCCAGAGTGGAGGGGAGGGGAGGGGGCACCTAGGAAGCTGCAGGAATCATCCAGAGTCCAGTTCTGGAACTGGGGCTTCTTAGGGAAGATGAGAGCATGAGAGGCCCCAAGGGGGCAGAGGGACTGTCTGGTGCTGAGGGTTCCCCAGGGGAATTGTTAGAGCCTAGGGAGGGAGGCAGAAGGGAGCACAGGATCCAAGGAGCTGGTCCTGGGCGGGAGGCTGGTGGTCAGGGGTGGGGCGTGGGGTGCGGGCAGGGACCTGGCTCTGAAGGGATCTGGGGTGGAGGAGTGGGCTGGAGAGAGGCTGGAAAAGCAAGACTGAGAAATTGCCTGAATTACGAATAATCACAGCCCCTCGGCCCCAAGAGCAAATCTGTTGAGACTCAAACACAGGAGGAGGATGGAGTAACAGAGAAGAGAAGTGGGGAGCAGGACAGGGAGACGGGGAGAAAAGGAGAAAACAAGAGAGTTTGGAGCACTCCAGACAAAAAGGAGAGATAATGACCTACAGGGCTCTCAGAGCCTGTGTGGCAAGAGGCTGGGTAGCCAGTCTGGGAAGGGAGAGGAGGGACCGTTAGAGCAGGCGTCGGTTCAGCACCCCACACACACCCTGACCGAGCCATCCCTGGGTGGCAGGCACTCGACCCCTGTGGAGTCAGGGCATGGCCTGGCCTCGGGCATGCACAGGTTCCAGGAGGGCGGCTGGAGCAAAGACAGGGCAGCCACTGCCGGTGGGGTGAGCTGAGCCTGGGATGGGCTGGGCAAGGGACCCTAGGGGCAGTTCATTCAACTCCTGCTGTGGCCAGATGAGAATGCCGAGGCTTGCTCGAGGTCGTGTCCCTCCCAAGGGGCAGCCCAAGTCCACTGTTGCACACACACAGGCACGTGAACACACATGCACACACACATGCCCCAGCTGCTAGAGGCAAGGCCTCTCTCGGACCAATGGGGTGAAGGGGACGGCCCTAGCCATCCCTCAGCGGATCCTGCCCTGCCCTTCCACTCTTCAGCATCAAGAAGTCAACTTTCTCGAGCCTACAGCTCCTGACCACCCGGCCACACACCCAAGCGATGGCGTGCAGGAGTCTCTGAGCACCGGGAGGCCCTGGAGCGGGGGCTGCTGCAGGCCATGCTGGCTATGACGCCCAGGCGCATGGACCAGCGCCCTTGGAGGTGCTGGCTGAGGAGCTCTCCGGCTAGTAGGGCTGAGCTGAGTAGGTGAACACATTTAGCCTTTGAAGCCCTGCCCCGCCCCTCTTGTGTGCCATCAAGGCCAACCATCCAGATTTCCCACACCCGGAGCTTTTGCTCATGGGAAGTATAGACCCCCAGGAAAAGGGGCAGTGGGGGAGGGGTGGTGGGCACAGAAGGAGAACTGAATGAACTGGGGTCGTCCCCAGATTGGAATGCCCTTAGCCATGGCCAAGGGCCCACCAGCCCTGCAGCCTCTCTGGGGACCACACTGAGTGACTCATGATGGAACATTCCTCCCCACGCAGGCTGCAGTGCTGAGAGCTGGGTGCAGAGGGAGCAGGGCCCCTCTGAGGTTTGTCCCTGCGCGGGAAAGGCACGCAGCCACACCGACAATCATGCTGCACGAGGACTGGCCGCCCTGTGGGTCCTCGTGCAGCTCCTCCTCCCAGGCCTTGGAGAGCTTCTGTCTCGCTACCCTATCTGTCTCCATAGCCACCTGGCAGGGAGGACAGGGCGGTAGTGACTGTGCCCATTGTGCAGGTGGGAAAGTTAGGACAGGAGCGGGAGGAGTGTGCTGCAGCTGGAGGAGGGAGCCGGGTGAGTGATGGAGGGTTGGTTGGGGTTGGGCTGGGGCGTCTCAGGCTAGCCCAGGGGACACAGGTGAAGGATCCAGTAAGAGGGCTGGGATGGGGCAGTGGCTCTCCCCACGCAGTGGCCAGTAGATCTGGCAACATCCCCACGAGTTGAGGGCTCTCCCTGTTGTCTCCTCTGTCTGGTACCCTCTTGTCCCCTCTGTCCCCTGGCTACATCTCTCGCCCTTTGGGTCACTGCCTCTGGCAGCTTCCCTGACTCCCCAAATCTGGGTGAGGAGAGTCGTGGCCAGACCATCACAGGCAGCAGGCACAGTGCCAAGGCCCATGCTACTGTTACGGCCAGGGAAGTGTTTATTTTTTCAACCAGAAGGGGAAAAAAAATGGATATAATACATCCGGGATTTTGTTTGTCTTTATACCAACACAGTCACAAAATAGAATTTTTAATCTTTTTATGGAGGAAAGGGCCCAGGAAAGTCACACCTGGCCTGGTCATGGGACGCTTCGAGGCCTGTGTCCCTCCTGGGGCCTCGCTGTGTGGTGATGATCTGCTCCCTCGACTGCCTTCCCCAGCAGGACCACATCTTACTCACTGTAAGACAAGCATGCAGTGGGCATTGGGTGAATAAGTAAATGCTTGTAAATAAAAGTAGTTAACGCTGATGGAGCACTTCCCCTGGGCCAGTGCTGTGCCAAGCTCCTTGGGAGCAGACACATTAATATCATCTCTGTGTTACAGATGAGGACACTGAGGCTGAGAAAGGCTAAATGATTCGCCCAGGTTGTTCACCAGGGGAGCCTGAGTGCCAAGCCTGCACTCTGGACCCCCGGCCCAGCAGTGTCCTCACGGGAGGTGGGGCAGCTCACAGGTGTGTCAAGAGGCTGAGTCAGTTTCCAGTAGGGACAATCTCACTGTCCCTAGATATCTGGCAAGTCTCGCGATATCAGCCCATGAGTGCTGACCTGTGGGCCAGTGCCCTCACAAGCCCCAGCACCGCCCCTGACCTTCCTTCTGACCACACAGCCTGTGCAGGCCCTTCCTCCATGTGGCCAGCACACTCCGAGCCCAGCACTGTGCTGGGGGGACAACGAGTGATAATTGTCGCTTACACTGAGCACCAGGCATTAGCCCACCTATCCTCCTGATATCCCTATGGGCTGGTGACTTATTCCCATCCCAGAACACAGCATGAGAAGTGCAGGGAGAGAGGGATGCGCAGAACATGGGGACACGGTGCGGGCACCATTCCTTCCGCCTTGGGAACTCGGGGGCAGGGAAGCAAGCCTTCACGGAGCAGTGACATGTGAGCCCATCCTTGCAAGATTAGCAGAGTTTCATCAGGCAGAGAAACGGGAAAAGGGCATTCCCGGCCAGGGCACAGCCTGAGCCAAGGCGGGGGAATGGGAGGGCCCGGGGCGAGGCTGGGGAACAGGGCTCAGCTCTGGGGAGTGCAAGTGGGGCGCGGGGGTCTGCAGCTGCCACACTAGGGGGTGGGGCCTTTGAAAGTTGGGGAGTGAGTCAGGCAGTTAGTCGATGCACTTTTATCAAGCATTTGTTAGGAGCCAGACGCTGTAATAGGCGTGGGGGGACAGAGATAACTAAGGCATGGTCACCCATAAGGGCCTGGTTGGGAGTGTCCACCTCAGCTCAGGGACTCATGTTCTGGCCTGGCGCCCCGGCTGGCCCACTTAGTAACCTGGATCCAGCCCTTCCCTCCTCAGACTGGACTTCTCCTTCCATAAACTAGCTTCACTGCGCTTAGCACCTGGTGACGAGCTCTTTGAACTCTCCAGATGAAAGATGCTGTCGATACGCAGCAGTGTCGCCAGACTGGGTGGAGCAGGGAGCCCACATCAGATCCTGGAGGAGGCAGAGAAACAGCCCCGGGGGGGTGGAGCACCAAGATCCTCTGAGGATACTGCACCTCCCCCCATAGCTGCCAAATGTGTTCCTGCAGCCAGGAAGTCTGACATTAAAGCCCCCCCACCCCCGCCCCCACCAAGGATGCTCTACCTGTGATGGTTAAATGACAGACACCGACACCCTGGCTGCTGAGGATGCTGACAGCAGGGAGGAAGACGTGGAGGTGGCCCTGGCTGCAGGGAGCTGTCTAGAGGCTTCACCCTCATGTGTTCATATCACGCAAGCACACTGAGCACCAACTACAGACCGGTCTCTGGCCCACGTGTCCCGGGTCCATGGGGGCTGCAGACAGGTCCACAGCTCATTTCCCACCATGTCAGGGTGTAATGGGGAAGACCTGGTCTCTGGAAGCGCAGAGAAGCCCCCTAACCTTGACTGTGAGTCCAGAACAGACAGGGGCCTAACCTCCTCCCTTCTCCTCCCAAAGACCATGGGTGGCTAAAGCCCTTTGTATTTGAGCAGTTCCTCCCTCACTCGACCTCACACAGGAGGAAACAGAGGCCAGAGAGCCTCGTTGACTGGTCCAAGGTCACACAGCCAGTCATGTGACAGACAGGACAGTTGTTATTATTCACATTTTACGAATAAGGAAAATGGCTCAGAGAGGTGAAGTGGCTGGCCTGGGGTCACAGAGCAAGCAAGTGGTGCACCTGGCTTGGAACCAGGGCTGCAGATTCCAGGGCCTCCTTGCTTTGCACCACAGCCTACACTGACGCGAGACTTCCTACAGCTGCTCCTGGTGAGGGCGGACGGGTGTTCTGTGGCCCAGGAGCGCTCAGGTCAGCCCTCTGGCAGGCAGGGGCTGGGACGGGAGCCAGTTCTGTTGCTCCGCATCTCCCGTGCAGGGCCAACTTCTCTATTAAGCAGAGTATTAAGTGTAATAATGAATATTTACTAATGAATCAAGCCTAGATTATAGTCATCTTTCTACCAATGTGGTCATAAAA